CTGATGTATATGTTGGCACTGCACATTAAAACTGCATCGCTCCTGCGGGAAACAGACTTGTGGTGGAGTGAGGAGGGGGAAGGAGTTTTCTTTATTTTTTTTTTGTTCCTGTGTAGCCTGTTTCTGTAAGTGAAAGAAGCTGTGCTCTGCACAGGAGCGCAGACTCCATGCATGGCATCAGATCTCGCTGTTCTTTGGGAGGAAGGGTGGGTGGCTTGGCTGGGGTTGTTTTAAGGACATTACTGACGCGTGAGACTTGTGCTCCTGCCCTGCACAGAAGGGAGTTTAACCCCTAGAAACTCACCTTATGTTTTTCTTGGATGGTCACAGACTGCATCTTAAAAATGACTTGTGTACATAACACTTGTGAGCAGTACAAATGAGGGGAAGACCAAAGGATGCTCCAGTTTGGTCAGTCTGGAATGTGGTGTGTGCGGTTGGTGCATTTAACACCCGCCCTGTCTCCCTTTGCGTGGTGCAAATGACTGTACAAGTGTACCAAAACTAGAGTATTAAATTCCTTATCTTCTGGAACCGAAGAACCCTAGATCTGCTCCTAGAGCTGCTACTGTGCAATGACTTTGGGCAGAAACGCTTAATTCTGCTGTCCAAATTGTTGTCCAGTATCACAGTAATGGTGATGCTGACCTTTCCTATTCTGCTTTGATGCCTGCTCACAGAAAGCACTGTGGGGGTAGTTCTGTATTGTTGTTTAACGATATCGCTTCTAGGAATTGGAATACAAGGAGAAACTCCACCGTTTCAAGAACAAAGGAACGAGAAGTCTTCTGACCCTTTTAAAATGGCAAACTAGTCATCTTGCATACTAGTAATTGTGCTGATTTTTAGCTATGTGTTACTGTGTGTTGAGACCTTCCTGACCTTGGCTTGATGAAATCAGGAGAGTTATTTGGTGGCAGAGTGGCTTTAGACTCTAGAAATGCCTCTGTCGCCCCTGACTTTCTTGTTTTGGGCTCTGCTCCAGAAATGAGATCGTTGTCTTGGTGATGGCTCTCCCTCCTTGTAGCCCCCTGTAATAGGGAGGTGAAATCTTTTATAGCTTTCCTGTCAGTTATTTCAGTATTTTGCTGCTTCAGTGCACCCTTTTCCTTAGAAGATGGGGAAACTCCATGTGTCAGTGCTGTAACTCAGGGGTAAATGGTCTTTTCTTCAGGTTGCTGTCTGAATACAGGCAGGATGTATTCCTGGGGTACCAGGTGATAAGTGTTTTTATTACTAAGGTTTTTCCTGTAGAAAGGGAGCCTGAATATAGTTTAGGAATTGTTTCTTTAGGATGTATATCTGACTGTGGAATAAAAAATTATACACGAATGTTGTACAGGGGTAGGGAGAAACCTTATCTATCAACTCAAGCTTCTGTAAAGATTTTATGCTGTAAAGCTTTCAGTTGTTAGGAGTGTGCGTGCATTAAAACTCAAGCATTAATTGAAAACGTAAGGGATGCTTCCATGTGAAGTAACACACAGACCTCGGGAGTCCAGAAGAGGAGAGGACCAGAGAGGCAGCTGCCCATTGACGGTGTCCGTCTTGGCATAGGCAGATGTTCGCAAACGCTGCTGCTGCAGAAGGGGCAGCTCTTTTGTCACGAGGGGTTGTGGGCGCTTTGTGTGTTGATTCAAGCAAACCATCTGCCGCTGTCTTTTCAGGCTTCTCGCGTAGCGTGCCCTTGGTGTGAATGGGAGCCGAGTCGCTGCAGCGAAGGGGCAGGGCTTCAAACAGAAAGGCACTGTCTTAGTTTCACGAGATTTGTCCTTTACCCTCGTGCTCTTACCAGCTCGCAGAGTGACCCTTTCTCTCCTTTACTGTAACGCAGAACAAAACTGCCATGCCTCTTCATGTGAAACCGTCCCTCGAGCGCTTCAGTCTCGCTGATCTCAGACCTGCCAAAGCATCCATTGGCGCTGGCTGACTTAAATTCTCTGTTGTCCTAAAAGTTATGCAGCATGCACCTCTGAAATGCTCATCTGCAAAGTCTGTAGCTGTGGCCGCTTATGGGAGTGCGCTGACCTTGTCTTGTTAGCTCTAACCTGACCTTTACATAAAGAGGTTTGGGTTTTTTTGGTTTGATTGCACATTTCCATGTCTAAGTATAGCTCAGACCTTTTTTAACAGACGAGATTAACAACTGAGAGATGTCTAAGCCACTGTCTAGTTAAACATGCACCCAGGTGTTAGCTAAAGTAAAACGCTGGCATGATGATGTCTTGCTTGTTGTAGTGATGCTGCCACAGCTCCTTCTGGGACTGTCCCTTTGCGTTCTGCCAAAGGAAAGAAACTGAGAGAACCCGAGAAGGTGGGAAAGAAAAGGTGCCGGAGCTGAGTTACTGTGGGATGGTGTCTGGAAGCCAGGTCTTCCTCCTTCAACATCAGAAAAATAGAACATGGAGTGTAGATGGTGCTCCTCTCTTGTCAGTAAATCCCCAAACTTCCCGGGTAGCCCACTGTATTTTACTATTACTGTGCCCGTTTTTGTTGTTTTCAAATTATCAGGGCCCTTGACTGAAACCAGCTCCTACCTGAAGGCCAGAATGAGCTGCTACCTAAGCATTGCTTCCTTTTTTTTTTTTTTTTCCCCCCTCCCTCCAGAGTAATTAACAACTCCTGTACTGGCCTTAGCAAGGGAGAAAACTGCTTCCAAGCATTTGGTGCCCTTCTCACTTATGATGGGCAAAGAGAGCAAGAAAGCATTGGAAAAAGTCTTTTTCCCTGAAAATAGAGCGTTCTGCCTATCATACAGTGCCTCCAAGTTGAGAGACGCATGCTGCTCCTGTCCTATGCACATGGGCTTGTATCCTGTCAACCCTTCTCTTGGTCTGTCCTAAATGTCATCGCTTACATGAACACAGACACCTCCTAACGCAAGTAACTCTTTAAAAAGAAAATTCTGATTAAATGACTTGTTTGTGCTGTTCTTGTGAAAAGCAGGTCATTGGTTTGCATTGGCATGATGTTCACCATGATAAATGCCTTTTTCCTTCCCTTGTTTTCCTGGACGCTATATTTCAGTGAGGACCGGGTAATTCAGAGGCATTTGCGTGATGTGGCAACTGATCTTGCTCTGCTTCAGCCTGTGTTCTCAAAATTTCACGGTAATACCTGGTAAATATATCACCAGCCTCCTGGCAGAAAACACCACCATAGACGTACTGTTCCTGTAATCTGGGACTGGCATCTAAGGTTAAACCATTGCGGACAACACAGGCTTCAGGAAAGACAGATAGTATTTTTGTAGAGTAACTTATAAAATGTTCACATAGCTACACTGTCTTTATTTAGCAGTGTAATGTATCTAAGTGAATAGTTTCCCAATAAATACCGATTTTGATGCCTAATGAACGACTATTGTGTCTTTAATTGTGAGAAGTGACAGAGAACGGGTTGACTTGCATACGTCTACGGACTTGATCAAGAAACAGTGCCTTGCGGGCGGCGATAGGTGTGCAAACGTGAATGATTGACCTGGGCAGAGTATTAACCTGGGCGATGATGCTATTATTTCACAGCAGGGTGGGTTGGTTAGTACCTCGCTTGTCCATCAGTCTGCAGATACCAAACAACTTCCTTACCCTCCTCGTTCTTCCTGCAATTCATACCGCTTAGTTTTCATGTGCCTTTTTCCTATCCTCTTGCTAACATGAGTCCAAAGACATACTCCTAACCTGCCAATAGTTCTTTGAAGGTAAGATATCTTCTGTTCTGTCTGTGTGAGTCGTAAGGCAAAACCGACCCTATCTTGGGCTCCTGTAACTGGAGAAGAGCTGAACAGCAAGCCTCTCCCCACACTAACACAGAAGCAAGCCAGATTGTTGTGTTAGAAACTTGATTTGATGTCATGGTATGGATTGTTTAAAATCATTGGTCTTGCAGTGGTTTAAAATAATGCTTCTATAGTTACCAGGATTCATTAAAAGCTATAGGCTGACCTTTGTTCTTTGAAACGTGTATGTTATTGTAGCAGACAGTAGGGCATCCCTGTGTATTTTACATGCCCGAGTGTAATTCCACGTATCCGTGGGATGGCTCACAGAAATAGAGGCTATGCCAAGCTATGTATCTGCTTGTTGGGCAGTCAATAAGCAACAGCGCAGAATGAAATGACAAAACTTGTCTGTTTGCTGGAGCTTCACTCCAGGCAGCAGCGTTACAAAGTGAAAACCTCTCCGATGGTGGTCGTCGTTGTGGGTAGCAGAGAAAACGTCGTGGAATGGTGTTGAGAGAGTGCTGGGTGTGCCCATTCGTGTGTCAGACATCTTCCATCTCTTTCTGAAAACCGGTACTTGTGGTGTCCCTGAGCTGTGAGGCAGCGCCGAGTTGCGTGCCAGTTTGTGTGTTGTAAATACCTTCCCCGGCATTTTTATTTTCTTTTATTTGCCTTCCCTCTCCTTCCCATTTTCCATGTGTGATGGTGGTTTAAATCTGAATGGCATGACATTTCTTGTGTAATAAGTACCTTTCATTCTTATTTGTGACTGGGGAGATGGAGCTTGTGGAGTAACACTCTTCTGTTGCATTTTTAGGTCTGCAGAGGGATCCGGCCCTATTCCCAGCTGTAGCTCTTGAACTCTGTAAAGGGCCTTCTGGCAGTGATGGACTTGCTTTGTACAAGGGTCAGCCTGAGATACTGGCGGTGAAAGCGCAGCACAACTCGGAGTCAGACTACTTAACAAGAGATGGTCCTTCAAGCAACAGCTCCTTCTACAGCAGCGAAGGAGAGGGGACAGACCACGAAGGAGATATTTTGGACTGCAGTGGGTCCAGGCCTTTACTCATGGATTCAGAAGAGGAGGAGGAAACCTGCAAGTTGTGCCCAGGGTTCCTGCAGTCTGCGCCCAGGGAAAGACGTGAGGCTTCCAAAGAAGATCCCCACTCCCAGTCTTCTCAGACTAGAGCAGGGGAGATGCTGTTCCCTGCCTTCACCGGGGAGGTTTTTAACGAACCGGACGTTTTTGCCACAGCTCCTTTCCGAAGCTTGAGAAAAGTGCCTGATGAGGTGGATGTCTTTACCAAAGCTCCTTTTATCTCCAAGAGCAATGTGGCTCTTAAACATCCAGAAGAAGCAGATGTATTTCTGAGAGCCCCTTTCACTAAAAAGAAAAGCATGGAAGAGTTGACTTCCCATAGTATGTCTAAGGAGCCCTTCGCACCACCCGTTTTCCTAAGTCAAGGAGGCGATGTCCAACACAGAGCTAACCCGACGTTCCCAAGCCTGGATTCGGCAATGCGTGGGTCCACGGCCTCGGCGAGATCTCAGTATCCCTCTGCCGGGTTTACTCAACCAAGCAATCTTCATCCCTCTTCCGTAAGGGCCACGGAGACCCAGGAGAACGTCCCTTCTAAAGGTGTGCTGCAAGAGCAGGGCAGCATTGCCAGTGAGAGAAACCAAGGAGGACACGCACTGCCCCAGGAAGCCGTGCTGGGCTCCGTGGTTAACAAGCCGTTCCGTCCGCAGTCTTTGTCAAAATATTCCCGTCACTACAGTCCAGAAGATGGGCAGGGTCTTGAAGTCAAGCCCATAGCTGCTTACAAAGTGGTTTCTCAGACCAACAGACAGGTGATAGCAGGATCTGTCTCTGTTGCCCCTCTGTCTTCCAGGACTACAGAGCTGCCTGGCGTGGATCCGTTTGCTTCAGCACCCTTTCCTTCCAAAGCAGGAAAGCAAAAGCCTTAATCTGCTGTGAGCTGGGAGGTGTGCTTCCC